GGAGAGTGACGAACCAGGGCATCATTGTGAGGGCAATATATCCGTTCTAAGTCTTTATCTAAAAAGACATGACGTTTGTTGCCTCTATCTTCCCTTCTTGGTGGCAGGTTGGCACTTAGCACCTCTCTTAAGTGTTCAGCCTTTTTTGATTGATCCTCTGAGCTCGCATACACGCTCAGGTTCAAAGACTCCATGTATTACATTGATAATGCCTTGAGGTGGGGCGTCGACTGGCATCCCGTTGGGGTTATTGTGATCCTGGGGGGCTGGTTGCGTCCCTCCTTCAATGTACTTATCCAAGTGGCCTGCTGCCACCAACTCCTCCAGGTGTTGTCTCAATGGTGTGCAATTCTCAGTGCGGTGTCCCTTTTCTTTATGGAAGGTGCACCGTGATCTTTCGTCATAGTCCTTCTGCGCTTCCCCTAGTTTGGCTGGCCACTTAACGAAAGGCTCATCTCTTATTTTGCTCAGAATCCGATATATCGGTCTCTTGAACACCGTGGTTATGGCAGTGCGGATTCTCAACCATCTTTTATCCGAGTCTTCTCCGTTATCTCATTTGGCACGTCCGTTTCTGTTACTTCGATCTACCGTGTTGACCTTTGCTGAGGTCTTCTTTTCTGGTACTGTGGTTGCCCCAGATTTTGCTTTGGCACGTGCGCCATCCTCTTCTACCCTGATGTGCTGATGCACTCTCTCTATCAGGGCTTCCATGGTAAGGGGTGGCGTCATAGTGATCGAGTCCCTTAGTCTGTTTCCGACTGGAAGGCCTCTTTTATACTGCGCAATGGCTGGCAGTCCCCAATCTGATTGAATGTCTCCCAGTAGCGACTATTGTAAGATCTTAGGGTCTCTTTATTGCCCATGTCGATGGAGAGTAGCTGGTCGATCTCCACTGGGGTTTTGGTGTTTGTTCGGAACCTTGTTACGAAGGCCTTTGCCAATTGCACCCAAGAGGCTATGCTGCCCTCTGGAAGTTTCTCGAACCAAGTCAAGCCTAGGTCGCCAAGGCTAGATGGGAAGAGTATGCACATTAAGGCCCCGTTTCGCCTATATACAGCCATGACGTGGCGAAAGTGGCTCAAGTGTGAGTAAGGGTCCGTCTTCCCTTCATATGTAGTGAATTTTGGCTGAAGAAAGCCCGATGGTAGGGGCACATTTTCAATCGCTGGAACAAACGGCGAAGTCTGCAGCCTTGCCAATGCTTTGTCTGTTGGTTCGTAGGTAGGGTGCGGTATTGGCATTCCAACCTCGACGCTTCCATCAGTCCGAGGAGCCAATCGCTGTAAGGTAGAAACTCTGTGTGGATCCCGTGCCCTGGCATCCTCCTTGCATCATGCTTTTTCTTCGAGCACGGTTCGTAAGTCGGATGATCTGGGTAACTCCGTCTGTCTAGATCTGGCTTGGTGCGTATGTGAGGGCCAATACGTGCTTCCTTCAGTGTATGATCTTTCAGATCTCGTCCTCTCAGACCTGGAGTGACAAGTTCTGGAAGACCAGGATTGAGTATCGCCTGTCCTGGGGCTTCTACTCTCTCCTTGCGAGGGTGTGGTATTCCTACTACGATTTTCTGAGTAGCGAGGGGGCGTCTTGTTTTTGTGCCCCTCTCCTATCGCCACTTCTTTTCTCTTCATCTGGCGCTTTAAGGCCTCCATGTCCGCTGCCATCTTCCTTATTAATTCATCTTGCTCCTTCACGCGGTTTTCCAGAGCTTGAGGATCAATTCTCCGTCTTTGCTTGTCAGGACTTTGCGAGCGAGATTGACGAGGGCTGTGAGTCCGTCTTCCCCTAGTGTCTCTCCTGGGGTTATGTCGTTGGGGCTCCAAATCTGCCATGGGAGGGATAGAAGGTTATCCTTCACGCCTTGCTCCCCCATCTGGAGTTTGCCCATCGATGGCGGAATGTGGCAATTCTTCAATGTGCGCCATTGTTTGTAAAGAGGAGAAGCTTTTAGTCAAGAGGTTTTGTTCTGTCTGTAATTCCCACAGACGGCGCCAATTGTACGGAAAAGAAATAAACCTTCTCATATAATCCTGTTGACCAAGTCTACTCTCCTCCGTACGTCGTCGCTTTATCACCTGAAAACACAAACGTGAGCTAACCGGCGGGTGTGTGCCGGAAACCTCTCCGATGCCTAAGTCAGTAAACTTGACAAATAGACAAAAGCTCTATGTATTCAGAAAGCAAAGTTGTGTGTTAGCTCTCCAAAGGTGATGTTTGTGAGCTTTTATAGGTTTCGTGTGGCACAATCCTAGTAGGACTTCTATTCCTCCATGCAGAGTCCTCCTAGGATTCATACTCCTGTAGGATAATGCTTATCCTTTAATACCCCCCTCACTGCTTAAACCAAGTGAGATGGTTTTATTATGGCCGAACACCAATATGACCGAAGCAAATATGTTTACGTTCAGTCGAAGAGTAAGCTGAACTAACTCTTCCTTTTATTGCTCTTACGGCGGCTCCTCATGCACAACCCATGGGGCGGTCAGACCGAACTAATATTTCGAGACCGGTGTAACTTTAAGACCGGTCTAATTCCAAGGAACCTTTAGACCGGTCTAACTTCGATCTTCTACTGGACCGGTCCAGTTTCACGTCCTTAGGACCGGACTAACTCCAAAATATCGCACGACCGGAGTATCTTATATGGCCATTTCACTTCGGCCCTTTATACTGTGGCCGAACACCAATATGACCGAAGCAAATATGTTTACGTTCAGTCGAAGAGTAAGCTGAACTAACTCTTCCTTTTATTGCTCTTACGGCGGCTCCTCATGCACAACCCATGGAGCGGTCAGACCGAACTAATATTTCGAGACCGGTGTAACTTTAAGACCGGTCTAATTCCAAGGAACCTTTAGGCCGGTCTAACTTCGATCTTCTACTGGACCGGTCCAGTTTCACGTCCTTAGGACCGGACTCCAAAATATCGCACGACCGGAGTATCTTATATGGCCATTTCACTTCGGCCCTTTATACTGTGGCGCATAACGGCCCATCACCTAGCTCGGCCCAATTTTCACATAAATTACACTCTCAAATAATATTAAATAAAGTTTTGAAATTACTAAATAATTACCCTATGATCATGGGTTTTCTACCAAACTAGATGTTAGGATTGAAATTTCAACACTTCTTTAAAAAATAAAAAGCAAAAGTAGCATTATATAAATGAATGTAAATCATCATGATGGTTTACACGAATCTACATTACTTGTTACCTCTTTTCTCTTCTCTATCCTATTGGATCTTATTTGATTCTTATGATGATTTTTTGTGACATGAATAATTTTATAAATTAACAAAATTTAAAGAGACAAAAAAGAAACATGTGATATTTGTTTCGTTTACCCATCAAGTGATATGAAATTAAGCTTAAGAGGTTGTTTGGGAGACTAATAAAATAAAATAAAATAAAATCAAAAATCAAAAAATCATTAAAAAAGTTTAAAAAATCATATAAAAAAGTTAAAGATTCATTTCTTTCTTTTTGTACTTCTTTTTTTAAAAATTTAAAAAATTATTCTTAAACACTTTATTTTTTTCACCTCATAATTTAACAAAATTACTAAAAAACCATTTCCTTAACAAGCCCTAAGTATAATGCATATATTTATTTTTTTCTACTCCGATAAGAGCATCTCAAACTTTTACTTAGATTTTCCATCAAATTTAAATTTGTTAAAATACGCACACTCTTGTTGCTCCAACCATGGCATCAAACCCATATCAAATGAAAGGAAAATAAAAAATTTCATCAAATTGAGGGAGGCTTCATCGTTTATCAAATTTTTACAGATAGCCGTTACTTTTGCAAAGACTTCACCATACACCGGATGACCGATTGATTGTCCTCCCGATCAACTGATTGTTTGATGAAAATTTACATAAGTCGGGCGACCTCTTGGTCAACCAGTTGTTTGATAAAAATTAAAAAATTAGCATTGGAACACATAGTATCAATGAAACTTTTCATTAATTTTTTATTCAAATTTAATATTAAATTTTTTTTTTTGAGTAAGCGTTAGAGATACTCTAATAGCTGTCTAATTGTCTAGCACATGATCTAGGTGCCCATTATGAAAATTATTCAAATTATTAGGATAATTATTCAAATTATGGAAATTATTCAAATTATTCATATTGTAAATAATTCAAATTATTCAAATTATGTAAATTAGGAGAGACTCCGCGAATCACTCCTCCCTTCATATTGTAAATAATTCAAATCATGTAAAATATTAAATTATTAGAATAATTATTCAAATTATGGAAATTATTCAAATTATTCATATTGTAAATTATTCAAATTATTCAAATATTATTCAAATTATTCATATTGTAAATAATTCAAATTATGGAAATTATGGAAATAAGCATATAAGGATATATTGCCTTTTGGAAATTAGGAAGGAAAAAAGGAATGAAACTTCGATAGATGAGAGGGAAAGCGTGTTCGAAGAAAATAAGGAATGTAAGAAACATACTATTTACTACGGATGAGAGAGAGGGAGAGAGTATATTCATGTTCAAATGTGCCTCTCGCACTCAGCCATCACTGTTTGAAAAAAAAAATCTCCCATGCCTTCATTGATCCCTTGTCCCCTCTGTCTATCCATATATATTAATCACTTTTAGTTCAGCCATTCCACAGTCTCTCTCTCTCTCTCTCTCTCTCTCTCTCTCTCTCTCTCTGTCACAACAGCTTTTGCAGCCATTCACACAGTCTCTCTATCTCTCTCTCTCACGATAGTTTTCGCAGCCATTCATACAGTCTCCCTCTCTCTCTCTCTCTCTCTCTCTCTCTTTGTGTGTGTGTGTGTATGTACGTGTGTGTGTGTGTGTGTCTCAAAATGACAGAGTCCCAAAATAAGGTTTTTTCCGCCTTTTGGTATTCCGACATCCTCCGCCGCCTCTTTTGCACCGACAGCAGAAAGGAAGATTAGAAGGAAAAATGTTAGAGTTATGATTTTTGATCTTCATCATTTTGATCTTCACAGTTTGAGTCCTCATCAACCAATGTCTGCGTCATTGGTGTTCACAACTGAAGCCATGAAGTTGTTGGAGGAAGAGCAGTTTCTTCAGTTGAATAAGTAAATTCAGTAATTTTCTCTATATTTCTCTCTCCCCCCTTCTTCTTTTTCTCTCTCTAATCTTTGTGTCAGTGAATTTCTACAGGAAAGAAAAGGACCCGTTGAAACCGAAACAACCCATGTCTGCGTTTTTCATGTTCAGAAATGAGCGAAGAGCAAAGAGCAAGAGTGGCTGGGAGGTAATTGAAAAATGGAATAACATGACAGAGAAACAGATGAAGCCTTATGAAAAGGTTCAATTAACTCTGTCTTTCTCTATCAATCTCTCTCTCTCTCTCTTATTGTCTCTGCAACATCAATTTCATATTTTGGGAACTTGCAGATTGCAAAAGAAAACATGGAAAAGTATTTGGAAGAAATGCAATTACCATATAAAATTGTCTATATTTTTTTTTATCGTCATATGACATTGTCTATATGATAATTAATCTCGACAAATAAGAAAAATCACAACACAGTCATCATTTGTCTTTTAATTATCTAACAATGGTATAAATCTCCACATTTCAGTCCTACAATATTTTACTACATGATTAATTTAGAATATCACATAATTAATATTACATAATGTTTTGAAATTACTAAATAATTACCCTCTGATCGTCGTTTATCTTCCAAAGTAGATGTTAGGATTGAAATTTCAACACTTCTTTAAAAAATAAAAAGAAAAAGTAGGATTATATAAATGAATGTAAATCATCATGATAGTTCACACGAATCTACATTACTTGTTACCTCTTTTCTCTTCTCTATCCTATTGGATCTTATTTGATTCTTATGATGATTTTTGTGACATGAATAATTTTATAAATTAACAAAATTTAAACAGACAAAAAAGAAACATGTGATATTTGTTTTGTTTACCCATCAAGTGATATGAAATTAAGCTTAAGAGGTTGTTTGGGAGACTGATAAAATAAAATAAAATCAAAAATCAAAAAATCATTAAAAAATTTTAAAAAAATCATATAAAAAAGTTAAAGAATCATTTCTTTCTTTTTGTACTTCTTGTTTTTAAAAATTCAAAAAATTATTCTTAAACACTTTATTTTTTTCACCTCATGATTTAGCAAAATTACTAAAAAACCATTTCCTTACCAAGCCCTAAGTATAAATGCATATATTTATTTTTTTCTACTCCGATAAGAGGGTCTCAAACTTTTACTTAGATTTTCCATCAAATTTAAATTTGTGAAAATACGCACACTTTTGTTGTTTCAACCATGGCATCAAACCCATATCAAATGAAAGGAAAATAAAAAATTTCACCAAATTGAGGGAGGCTTCGTCGTTTATCAAATTTTTACAGATAGCCGTTATTTTTGCAGAGACTTCACCATACACCAGATGGCCGATTGATTGTCCTCCCAATCAACTGATTGTTTGATGAAAATTTTCATAAGTCGGACGACCTCTTGGTCAACCGGTTGTTTGATAAAAATTAAAAATTAGGATTGGAACAGATGGTATCATATGAAACTTTTCATTAATTTTTTATTCAAATTTAATATTTTTTTTTTTTGAGAAAGCGTTAGAGATACTCTAATAGCTGTCTAATTGTCTAGCACATGATCTGGGTGCCCATTATGAAAATTATTCAACTTATTAGGATAATTATTCAAATTATGGAAATTATTCAAATTATTCCTATTGTAAATAATTCAAATTAATCAAATTATGGAAATGAGGATAGACTCCGCGAATCACTCCTCCCTCCATATTGTAAATAATTCAAATTATGAAAAGTATTCAAATTATTAGGATAATTATTCTAATTATTCAAATTATTCATACTGTAAATTATTCAAATTATTCATACTGTAAATTATTCAAATTATTCAAATATTATTCAAATTATTCATGTTGTAAATAATTCAAATTATGGAAATTATGGAAATAAGCATATAAGGATATATTGCAGTTTGGAAATTAGGAAGGAAGGAAGGAATGAAACTTCCAAAGAAGAGAGGAAAAGCGTGTTCGAAGAAAATAAGGAATGTAAGAAGCATACTATTTACTACTGATGAGAGAGAGGGAGAGAGTATATTCATGTTCAAATGTGTCTCTCGCACTCAGCCATCACTGTTTGAAAAAAAAAATCTCCCTTGCTATCGTTGATCCCTTGTCCGCTCTGTCTATCCATATATATTAATCACTTTTAGTTCAGCCATTCCACACAGTCTCTCTCTCTCTCTCTCTCTCTCTCTCTCTCTCACGACAGTTTTTGCAGTCATTCACACAGTCTCTCTATCTCTCTCTCACGATAGTTTTCGCAGCCATTCACACAGTCTCTGTGTGTGTGTGTGTGTGTGTGTGTGTGTGTGTGTGTGTGTCTCAAAATGACAGAGTCACAGAATAAGGTTTTTTCCACCTTTTGGTATTCCGACATCCTCCGCCGCCTCTTCTGCATCGACAGCAGCAAGGAAGATCTGAAGGAAAAAAGTTAGAGTTATGATTTTTGATCTTCATCATTCTGATCTTCACAGTTTGAGTCCTCATCAACCAATGTCTGCGTCTTTGGCATTCACAACTGAAGCCATTAAGTTGTTAGAGAAAGAGCAGTTTCTTCTGTTGAATAAGTAAATTCAGTAATTTTCTCTATATTTCTCTCTCTCCCCTTCTTCTTCTTCTCTCTCTAATCTTTGCCTCATTGAATTTCTACAGGAAAGAAAAGGACCCGTTGAAACCGAAGCAACCCATGTCTGTGTTTTTCATGTTCAGAAATGAGCGAAGAGCGGAGAGCAAGAGTGGCTGGAAGGTAATTGAAAAATGGAATAACATGACAGATAAACAGAAGAAGCCTTATGAAAAGGTTCAATAAACTATGTCTTTCTCTATCAATCACTCTCTCTCTCTCTCTCTTATTGTCTCTGCAACATCAATTTCATATTTTGGGAACTTGCAGATTGCAAAAGAAAACATGGAAAAGTATTTGGAAGAAATAGAATTACCATATAAAATTGTCTATATTTTTTTTATCGTCATATGACATTGTTTATATGATAATTAATCTCGACAAATAAGAAAAATCGCAACACAAAGTCATCATTTGTCTTTTAATTATCTAATAATAGTATAAATCTCCATATTTCAGTCATACAATATTTTACTACATGATTAATTTAGAGTATCACATAAATAATATTACATAATGTTTTAAAATTACTAAATAATTACCCTATGATCATGGTTTTTCTGCCAAACTAGATGTTAGGATTGAAATTTCAACACTTCTTTAAAAAATAGAAAGAAAAAGTAGCATTATATAAATGAATGTAAATCATCATGATGGTTTACACGAATCTACATTACTTCTTACCTCTTTTCTCTTCTCTATCCTATTGGATCTTATTTGATTCTTATGATGATTTTTGTGACATGAATAATTTTATAAATTAACAAAATTTAAACAGACAAAAAAGAAACATGTGATGTTTGTTTCGTTTACCCATCAAGTGATATGAAATTAAGCTTAAGAGGTTGTTTGGGAGACTGATAAAATAAAATAAAATCAAAAATCAAAAAATCATTAAAAAAGTTTTAAAAAATCCTATAAAAAAGTTAAAGATTCATTTCTTTGTTTTTGTACTTCTTTTTTTAAAAATTCAAAAAATTATTCTTAAACACTTTATTTTTTTCACCTCATAATTTAACAAATGTAACGCCCTCAAAAAAATATAACATTAAACCCAGCAATATAGACATGCATTGATATATATAAAAGCTCCACATTCTTCTATTCATCAGAGTTCCATTACCAAAAATATTACATGTTAACGACAAAAGCAAATGCCCTAAAGGCTTACAGCTTTCCAAGTTAACACTTGGTTACAACAAAAAAAAAGTGCTAACTCATTTACACATTAAGCCCTTGGCTTGAATATACATGTAATACATCAAAGAAACTAAACAACAAAAGACTGTCCGTCTCCAGCCTCCCAAGCTACGTCCTTGGAGGTGGCATGCTACCTGTACCTGAAAATGATATTCCCATATAGGGTGAGCCACAGCCCAATAGAAATACACTAAACCAACCATGGACAATGACTAAAACATTAGCAATTGATAGTTGGTCAACACTGATACAATCACATAAATTACATATTTATGTCAACGACTTACAAGTCCCAATTACTTTTCATTTTCCCCTTTTCAACAGATAAGCATGCTAGCTCTATCATCATTTCCACAGACATGTATAAAAACTATATCTCACATTCAGATAAGCACAAAAGCTATATCCACATTCTCAACAGATAGCCAAACAACTTATATGAGACAGTAACTCATATTAAACTTCTTCCCAATTCATATTAGATAAGCGTACTAGCTATATCAACACATCAACAGATAAGCATACAAGCTATATCATCACTTCCATAGATATGCATAAGAGCACTATCACACTTCCAAAGACAAGCATATGAGCTATGTCAATACATTACTAGATAAGCATATGAGCTCTATCTATGGAGTCCATCCCCTATCTTCTCCCAACAACATCCGGTTTAGAGGTCCATCCCCTTTCATCCCCTAAACCGTGGAGTACATCCCCTATCTCCTCCAACACGACACAATGCATATAAACAATAATTATACACATCATCACACAACACATAAATTTAATGTATTTTTTCAACCGTCATACTCAATGACACATTCCAATAATTAGTTTCAGTTTGCCTAATCATCATGCATTGTCTACAACAATCAAGACTATCCTCCACCGATAGCCCAAAGTAGTTATTTCTATACAGAAAATAAATGCAACAATGGATATATAATCAAGATTTCAACTAGGTGAGCGGTAAATGGCCCAACCACACCCTTTAATCTCATACCTTTCCAAATCAATTCCTCATTTCTCGTAATTAATTATACGAATTAATTAACCAATGTAATTAGAGCATAATCCATAATTAACATTACAACCCTCAGGTTCCATTTTCATTAATGTTTTAACATTAATTTCACCTTTCCATGCCAAACATGCATCAGGTTTTATATAGTTAAAACCCCAACTTTTGTAAATTTACACAAAAGCCCAAACTTTCACAAAATTACCAAACCAACCCCAACATCTCAAAATACTAAAATTTAAAGACAAAGCTCATAGTAAGGAGTAGGTTATCCCTACCTCGAAGTTAGAGCTCGGATGGAGAAGAGACCGAAACCAAAGTGCTCCAAAGACCAAGATTTTCAGATCAAAACGACGCCCTCGACGATCAACACAACTTTTACAAAAGCCGAAGAGAAGGAGGACACTCTAACTAGATCAAACCCTAGAGAGAAGGGAGTATCTAAGAGAGGCCTCTCAAAATGGGTTTTAGAAAAAGTAGGAGAGAGAAAGGAAAGTAAAAAGTGATTTAAAATCACCCAGCGGATAACTCATATACGCATGACCCGCTCGAGCGGATAACACAACGCTCGAGCTCCAAGAACAAAAATCTGGACACGCTCGAGCGCATTAAGGCCCGCTCGAGGGCCAAGACACAAGAATAAAGCACTTCCGCTCGAGCGCGAAAACCAGTCCGCTCGAGCATAGATTTCTTCCTCCCAGAACTCATACCCAGAAAGTACTACCCGCTCGAGCGCCACCAAACCCGCTCGAGCGTAAACAAACCTGCTCGAGCGTAAAAATCACATCTGCAGAAGTTTTACAGGAACACGAAATACTGGAGGTGTGCAATCCCTGCTCGAGCGCAAGAAGACCCGCTCGAGCAGATCGCCTAAAAACTGGACAACAAGGAATTGAAACCAAGGCCTAATCAACCTGTAACAACCCTGCTCAAAACATCCTAAAACTCAATCAAGTGAAATTAAAGGACGGAAACAAGATAGATACCACTACCAACTTCACGGAACCGAGTCCGGAATACAACAGAACAGTAAAGTGACAACCGGGGTCGCCATAACCTCTCCCCCTTAAAGAATTTCGTCCCCGAAATTAAACACAAGTTTTTCAAAAACAGGTTTTCTCCATTCTCAACAATATTACGACATAATATTAAACAACCCGACCCATTACCGGTCAATTCCATCTCTTTTCAAGAGGCATTTCACAACATACATGGTTCGCAGTTCATATCATAATCAGTATACATGATACAACTCCAATTCTACAATATGGCCAACATATGCAATATCATAATCAACTCCCATATCAAGGTAAGTTCTACAACATACTTCTATTTAACCAAAACATTACCAATGTTTTACAACTCAAGATATATATAAAGCTCTTAAGTCCAACAACATTACAAAATTTAAATACAAGATTACTCATCAATATACAAGTCCGGATATTTCTCGCGGACCTCCAACTCACGTTCCCAAGTGGCTTCCTCCACCCCGTGATGTTTCCACAAAACCTTTACCAAAGGGATGGTCTTGCCACGCAGGACCTGATCCCGCATATCCAAGAGTCGCACCGGTCTCTCCTCATACGAGGCAGGCAATCCTCATCTACTCAAATCGGCGTCCAATCTAACACATGCATGGATTCCGCGCTCCATACTTGCCGAAAAGCATGCTCACATGAAAACACGTCATGAACTTCCAGACAAAACTGTGACGGCCAAACGCTCTTAAAACGATAAGGCAACCTCGCCCAATCTCTCAAGGATCTCAAAAGGACCAATAAAGCCAGGGATAACTTCCACTCTTGCCAATTCTCATTCAAAAAACCTCGCCTTAGGTATATTTTCAAGAGACTTGAATCACCTACCTCGAACGCCAAAGGCCTCCTTCCTACGACAGCATTAACTTCTTTTGGCGGGACTCTGGCTGTAACAAGCCTCTACGGATAGCTTCAAAACTTTCCTCCGTCGTCTCTCTAACCAAACTCGGGACCCAAACAAAGTTGCATCACCCCCACCTCGGCCAAAACAACACTGAAGGACCTACACGAGTCGGCCATAATAAGGCCTCAAAATGTGCCATACGGATACTAGGGACTGAAAGCTGTGTTGTAGTCAAAAACGTCCACCAATGGTAAGTGCCCCTCTCCCATGGTACCCACTAAA